ACGCGCTTTTCATAGCCAGTACCGGTTTCTAGCACCAGTTCTCATTATTTGGACTTGAAACTCGTTTTACAAGTCCTACATATTATTCTAGTAATTATTATGCACTTACTTTAATATTCCGGGATACTTTTTTGGTACGCATTTATACCGACTAGCAGAACCGGTATCTGCACTTTTCTTCCGAAAAGCGACTTTCAGCATTCTTAATCACTTACCATAATTATTAAAGCCTCTTAATAATTATTAGGGTCAATTATGGAATCATTTCCTAATTTTGCATAATTAATTAATTAAATACCTTAATTAACGGTGCGGGTTGTTACACCTAGCGTGTAATGAGAAGGGATAAGGGAGTGGGTGATTTTCGGCCAATAAGGTTTCATGCAAGCTGACTTCTCTATCCTAATTGGTTGAATGCTTAATAAAGCTGACTTGGGTTTGTCCAATGTAACAAGCAAATCAGAATTATTTTCTCTATGTTATGCGCATGAAGGGAAATGTAAGGGTAAAATGAGATTTGGGCTACTTGATTTCCATTATGGCCCGTGGGCCGAGTCCATTAATACCCATTGGTTTCCTAAAATTAATTTTCTAAGGGCTCATTTATCTCACTTCATATAGTAATAGTTATTATATATTTTATATCCACTAGATAGCAACTAAGATTTTCTTTACCTATTCTGTACCTAAAATTAATCCCATCCTCTCAACTAGAATTTTAATTTCTTAAAACACATACTCACACCTAATTATATTTAACATAATTTTTCATGGCTTGAATTAAGTCCACCCTATATATACATATATATATATATATATATATATATATATATATATATTTATATTTCAAGTTCAAAGCAAACGTCCATGTTCCTAACTAAATTATACACTTCTTAAATTCGCGGGATGTTACATTACCAATGAGTTAAAGAGGCTACATTTGATTCAATTCCTGATGAGTTGTCCCGTAATAAACCCAATTGTTGGAAGGATGAAGTGATGATAAAATGAAATCATTAATTAATTCTGCATCCATTATGAAGTCTAGACCCTCTAGCTTCTCAATGAGCGTTATCATCTTCAGGACAGTTCCTCTTCCATAGGCGAAACAGGTAAAACAACATCAAGGACATAAGCAACTTTTTTGGCCCGCAGAACAATTCTGACATTCCGACACCAGTCCATAAAATTGGGACCAGTCAACTTGTTCGTTTTAAGAATAGTACGCAGAGACAAATGATTCGACATATTAAGCTGAAAGGATGTAAAGATTAATACTGTTATAAATTAGACCATGTTATTAAAGACTTCAAATAAATGGCCCCTCCCATTATTTTATCTAAGTCAATGACCCTTATCCTTAATGACCTAGGGTTATTCTTCTTAAGAATTTCCTTAATGGGTTAAGAGAATGACCGTTTCGTTTAATCCCCGTCTGAGACCGCAAGATCAAATTAACCGATAGGTTGATCATTATCAACAGTATCTCATACCTTCTCTCATCAGGTTGATAACTCCTTGTCACTTAGTGGTGTATCTCATGCAACCAACTTGGCACTATTGCCCCAAGTACATAAGCTCGGCTGAGCCTGCAACTTATGCACCCGGTCAAGCACAAACCACCATCCTAAGTGTCTCTACACTTCAAGCATTCATCTTACCCAATGAAACAATGGGTCCCAACAGAGTTGTAGAGCACCACAACGTCGAACAGATTCAATTTGTACCGATGGTGGGAGGCAATCATACACTTAATAATTGTTCCTTTTATTTTTATTAGGGATTTACCTAGTCTCATCAAACGCGCATATTGTATTATCATGCTAGTCGTTGCCCTATTTCATACATCTACAACATACTATACTAAATGCTTTTGGACATGCATAATAGAAACATACATACGTGATTTTATGACATGCATATTAGTCGCTTTGACATACACGCATACATTCATAGACATAATTAATCAAATTTATTTTGGGATAGTCATAGTACTCATGCCATCTTCTCCCATCTTGCTCCTTAAGCCGCGACTCCTTTATGGACTACTCCATGCCTAAAACGCCACTAGCCTAATTTCTAATTACGTATTAATTCAAGAAACCCCAAGTTACATTTGGGGGGAGTAAGGTGAGAAAAGAATTTACACAAGAGTAAAAGAAAGACAAGGCATACAAGCCTTATTTACCAAAATTAAATTACAAAGATTAAAATTTAATTTTGGGTACCATGACCATCCCCTTCCTTTATTTGCACCTGAAAAGTTAGTAACCAAACAAGCTCAAAAATTTACAAAATATGTTTCTATGCTTTTACATGGACATATTAACATTTAACATATCTAAAAGTTTATAATTTTATACAAAGATCATATTTTTACTGAATAAAAAATTAAATATCAAATCTTTATTCGATCAAAATGTCAAATTTAATTAATCTGTTTCCTTAATTTTGGTCAATCAATCTAATTAATTGATTTCCTTTATTTTCTTCATCTTCATTAAATCTAATTTAATGACTACATTTAAATTCAAAATCTAAGATTAGAAGTTAAATTAAATTTTTATAAATTCAAATTTCAAATTCAAAATTCAAAATTAGAATTCAAATTATTTAAATTCAAATTTCAAAATTAGAATTCAAATTAATTTTATTAATTTAACATTTAAATTAATTTTTTTTTTTCGTAAATACATTTAAATTAATTAGGTTACATCAAGAATCAAGTCTGACTTGGCCCATGATGCCACCTACCCTATCTTGGCCCAATATGTGGGCTTCACCAACTTAGGCCCACTATCCCTTATTGAGCCAAAACCACATATGCTAGAATTCAAGACAACTTAAAGTGTTTGTGTGCGCCATCAGGCCCAACATAGCCACTGACATAAACAGGTTTAGGCTCAATCCATCTAATGATAACACAGAGCACTAGCAATACTTTATTGTCCTAGAGCTAGTTGAGTTCATCGAATGATCAACCTGTTATACCTATTTGGTTACCGTGTGAATTGTCCTTTCGTCTCAGTTATCCGTCTCATTGACCTAGGTCAAGAAAAACGTATCAACCCTTGCGGTCTAAGGTTAGCTTTTGCCGAAACAAGGAATCTTCATTTACGGACTCTAAAGAGTGGGCCATCTCATGACTCCTTTACTATGCATAGATTCTCGAGCCACGTAAATGTCATCCCGGTTTCACCGGTCTATGGATAACCTAATCTTTCACAGAGATTCATGAATTTCTTTAGCTTGTCACACTAAGCCTGAGTCCTTAGGGCATGCCCAAGAGTATATCTACGAGTCTCCATGTTTTAGGCAGACAAGGTATACAATCAAAGCAAGCCTTCCAGAGCACAGGTCTATATGACAACGTCAGGTCTAAGGAAAGACACACCCAAATAATAAGAGACATTACCTATTGATACTATCTGTGAGATTTCCTTGTAGTGTCTCTTTGTGGGTCAGTTCAATGCGAGCTATTCTCCAATAGGTCCACCCACGAGTCAGCTAAGACATCTCCATGTCTATAGCTCACGAGGACTCTACCTTGCATCTCCATGCAAGTAGCTGGGTCGTGCTAGTCTTACCCGAGATCACCACTGCCCATTATCGGTATCTCTAGACTAGGAACATATTTCTAGTAATGGACGTGTGGTGTCATTGAGCCCTCATGATCGTAATCCCTATCACAGATCCTCAATGTGACACTCGTTCCATTCCAAGAGCTTTATCCAATTACTTATATTCAATATTTGAGACATGCAATATGAAGCAAGATAAAGAATGCTTTTATTCATAAAATTTATTTATAGCAATAAATAAATACATGGACCCATTTGACTTTCAAATTGTTTCTAGGATACCTATGTACTAATACCTCCAACATTATACACATTAGCTTTTAGATTAAGAAGATGATGACTTTATATATCATATCTCCTGTGCTCTTCAGGATGAACATTAAATGCTTTAAAAATTTTACCAAAAATAAAAAAATAAAAAATGCTTTAAATTACAGAGTGCGTACATACTCTTTACAATAACTTCAATTACGTAGAACTAGACAATTATTTTATTAAAGCAACTCTATCTGTATACCGTGTTTAACTTTTGTATCTCTCAATTTGTTGCAGAAACATATCATCTAATCCATTTCTTCCAAAAGCACAAAAGCAAAAGCTATTTATATTCAAAAGGCGCCCCACGTTATCAGGTAAATAGTTGATTCGAATCCACAATTGTCTTCATTGTCATGCAATGATCTAGCTCCACCACTAAGTTGTCTGATCATGTGATAACACACCAAGCTTGCTTCGACCCCAGTACTATTGATATAAAACTTGTCCCAGAAATTTGACATATTTATCCACCACAATTTTAAAATACCAATTATGTTTTCTTTTCTTTTTTCTTTGAATACGACCAATTATGTTTTATGAGAACATAATATCAAACTGGTGGTGCCCACATGACCAAAAATAATCACAAATCCCAAACTATCCTCTGCGTTTTTTAATTTTATTCTCAATATATGCAATCCTATAAATAAAATGTTTGTCAGGACATTTTGGAGACACTCAATTAAGAGGGTGAAGGGGGGGAAACAAAAAGGACAATTGAGGTTTTTTAGGCAATTTTTAGGGTGGTAAACAATCATAGAAAGCGCACTTTAAACTCTGCTGCCAGGGATATGTTCAACGCTCAGGAATAGCAAAAATTGGCTGTTGATAAATAACCAGCCATCGAACGGCTACACCCAGCATCATTTTCCTTGTCTTGCATTAGGAAGCATCATTCACATCTACGTATCCAGATTATCAGAGAAGCAACTTAATACCAATGGGTGTAATATAATTTGAAATTTGCAATCCTTAGTACGAATAAATTAATACCAATGGACAACAGGAGCTAAGTGAGATCACAAAAGACCAAATCAAAAGTGAGATCACAAAAGACCAAATCAAAAATATAGTCAGATACATTCAAATGACAATGAAGCATAACAGGAAATTGTAAGAGGTATCTTTTTATTTGCAAAGTGATGGCATTCTATCCCATACAAATCCAGATCCACACAATTTATAATAAACAAGAATGTAATGCTTCTTTCGTTAAACCATGATGACACAATTATCAGGGGAAAATTGTTTTCTAGATGTTTCCAATATTAATGGGCTCTCGGAGGATCCTCTCCATTTGTTGTGCCCTAGTCTTAATGGACATATCAAAGACCTTCTGGCTAAATTCCACCACTAGACCACCAAGTATGCTTGGATCAATCTGAAAATCCAAAAAAGAAAACCCAATTTGACAAATTGAACTTAGATGGCATACACACACAAACAGATATATGTGCACGTGTGTGTAACAGAGTAAGGGAAAATAGAAGAAAATATATCACACTAATACCTTTTGTTCAAGATGAACCTTTGCCCCAGAACCTATCATTTCCTGAAGAGTCTCCTTCAGTGCCTTCTCCTCTTCAGGGGGAAGAGGCTGGTATAAAATTATAGAAAGTTAGGTAATTTTGATGAGATAAGATCATATCACATATCCAGTCAATCATTCAAAAGCCAATGCTAATATAATTCCCAAAACCACCAGTTTACACATTCAATCTTTCAAAGTTTGACATCAGTGTCAAGGATCCTGCCTTTATATATATATATATATATATATATAGGAGAGAGATCATTTGACTCTAGAGTAAGACTTATAAGTCTTACTCCCTATCCTAGCCGTTGATTTCCGTCCATCCAACGGTTATAGTTTATGAAGTTATATTAATTAATTAATTATTAATTATACTATAAATGACAACTGTTAATTTCCGTCCATCAACGGCTGAGATGAGGAGTAAGACTTAAAAGTCTTACTCTGGAGTCAAAAGAACCCTCCCCATATATATATATATATATATATAGAGAGAGAGAGAGAGAGAGAGCACATAAAAAGATGGTACTTGAAGAAAACATGATGGTTGCGGAATGAGAATGGTGGAGAGAGAAACGATGGTATCAAAAAGAATGTTTTGTTGAATTTAATTTTTGAATTACTTTTGTAAACCCAAAATCAAGTGATTTGTTTCAAAGAATTTAATTGAGATAAGAACTTTTTGAAGTATTTCAGAAAAATTATGCATATGGAATAGTGACTCTCCTAGTCTTTTATCAATAATAAAAGAAATGAAAATATGGTATTATGTGTACTTAAGTTAAAGCACATCACTATTAGAATATAGTATCTCTTAACATTCACAATATTGAATCCAATCATTGTATTGAAGAAATCATGGAACTGAATACCGCAATAGAAAGTACAAATATGTAATATGTTGCATTACATTTTAGAAATAAACTTAGCCATCAAAGAAGTACTACTTACAAAGACAGTGGTCACAATCGCTTTCACTTCTCCCTTGTATGCCATTGCCAACTCCCTAAACCTCTTAGCAATGGTGTCTATGTTTTTAAGCCTCCCATTCTCAGCAACGACAACTATAACAAACAAAATAATCAATGAATTATAGTATTAGAAAAACAATGTAGATCTAATTAGTTATAGATCAATGAAATTGTTAAGTGTTACAAAAGGGACAGCCAAGTAATTAGTAGTTTTTGAAAACAAGAATTAAACATCCTAATACCATTACACATCACCTTGATGACTAACATCATATTTTTATTAAATAATGTCATCATACTTTACAGGGGAAAAGAGTAAAGGAAAAAACCATAATAACCATATTTGTTAATTGTTATATGCAGCAGATCCTAATGCAAAGTAACGATCTTCAGATTAACGGATACTAATCCAGCATAATGTATAAAGCCCATGATTTCATTACAAGGAATATGCTAGATGGTAAGAAAAAATTTAAATTCACACAGTCAAAGTTAACCAGCATAGAAGCTCTAATTACAAGTAACTCGTACAGAAACAGTCTATTTTTTTCGTTCTGCTGGGCCTGAGATAATTAGTGATGGGCTTGATATAATTAGTTAGTTAGTTACGGAGTTATTCTAGAATATTCTCAAATAATAGGATATAAGGAGGGGAGTGTGGGAGTGTGAGGTATGCATGTATTCAGAATATTTGGAGTGGAATTTTGGGAAAGGATCTCTTGGGATCCTCTTTGGCCTAAATATATTGGCTTGAGAGTGAGTGAGGCCTTTTGGTGTCTATTTTCTGCATTGTAATTCCTGTTATTGTTAATTGTTTAATTCTGTAATTAGGATGAGGAGCCTTGTTGTTCTGTTTCGTTTACTGCCAATGATGTGTTACTGCCATTTTCTTATTATTTCTCAGTGTATTTGCTATTGAAATTATGGGTTCCATCAATTTGGTATCAGAGCACTACATTCCTGGGAGTGCTCTTTGATCCACAGATTTGAAAAACTAAAAAAAAATGAAATACAGATTTACAGTTGTTCCAAAATTCTGTGGAGGAGGAGGAGATCACGAAGTTGAAATGATGGAACCCCATAATTTCAATAGCAAATACACTGAGAAATAACAAGAAAATGGCAATAACACAACAATGACAATAAACGAAACAGAACAACAAGGCTCCTCATCCTAATTACAGACTTAAACAATTAACAATAACAGGAATTACAATGCATAAAATAGACACCAAAAGACCTCACTCACTCTCAAGCCAATATACCTAGGCCAAAGAGATCCCAAGAGATCCTTTCCCAAAATCTCACTCCAAATATTCTGAATACATGCCCTCTCACATTACCCATTCCTCCTCTATATATTCTACCCTCCAGGAATAATCTGGAATCATTACCTAACTAACTAACCTATACACCACACTCAGGCCCATCATATTTCAGGCCCATCACACTAATAGGCAAAAAAATTTATCAGACAATTTGCCTTTTATGACAAACAAATACTAATTATTCCTACAAGAAAACTTTAGCAATAATATAATTTTTGAACATAATTCAATAGATAACACATTCCTCAATTGACCACCTAATATTGAATCTACAAGATGTTGTCCAAAAACTTGAGCCTTGGTAACATATTCTTAATTCATATATTCCCAAACTATTTATATATATTATGCGATGTAAGCCTCTTTGGATCTTTGCTTTCTTTTTGTTTCTCTATTTTGAAGGATTCCTTATTCTTCCCCCAGTTCCATTTTTTTCTCTCTCTTATCCCCAATGGAATTATTTCTATTGTTTTACATAATTTTTTTCCTTCAAGCAAGATACAGGAAAAATATGTTTGCGTAGGTGCCCCCTCATGCACGCAAGCAATTTGTAGAAACTTATGTGAATTAATTATTATTCTAAACTCCAATGTGTTAATTTCTTGGGACTACTTATTTAAATTTCTTTTCTTTTCAGAATTCCTATATGTTTACCATTTAATGCTCATCAGATCAATACTAGTTTTACTTATGGGATGTTAACCACTGGAATGTTAACTGTTTTTCGGGATAACCTCGAGACACAGGCCTTAACTAAAATAGAAGAGCTATCTGTTTGGATCTTTAATCCACGAAGTTGGCATTGTACATGTGAATTCGCTTCTGACTTTAGAACATTAATCCTGAAAACAGCAAAAGATTTTTTCTCATAACCTCTTCACAATCACATATTATTGTACTTCATTTGCCTTTAATCTTTTTCAACTCTTCTACTTGAATTTTCTCTCTCGCTTTCATTTATTTGTCTGTATTTGGTCATGTTATGTGAGTGTGACCTAAAATCATTGGAGCCAATTCTGCTCTTGTGTTTGTTATATTTGTATTCATTCTCAATGTTATTACACCACCTACCTCAGCATATTGTCAAGAAGTCACATAGTTCAGTAGGTTCTATGTCTGTATCTTCAATTTACTGTCCTTGATTAGAGATTAATTTTAATGTATAGCTCCTCATCACCCAACTAGCTCCAATGTTTTGATGAAATTTATCCTCAACCTTACTACCCTCTGAATTCTTAAGTAAAATGTCTATAATTTTCATTTTCGACAACTTTTCTCATGATGATAATTAATTGTTGCTTCCAAGTCATCTGAAACATCTATTGGTCTGTTAGCAAGGAGCTCGGTTTTCCTTAAACAAGATCTCGAGTTAGGGTCACAGGTGTTGGGTTACCTTTGCCACCCTAAATAGGTCCAAGTGCCCATCTTGATTCAGACTAGTCAAGGCCCAAAGTGGCTTTTGGAGAGTGAGGGTTTTGAACCTGATGGGCCTGAGATAATTAGTGATGGGCTTGAGATAATTAGTTAGTTAGTTAGGGAGTTATTCTAGAATATTCTCAAATAATAAGATATAAGGAGGGGACTGTGGGAGTGTGGGAGTGTGAGGTATGCATGTATTCAGAATATTTGGAGTGGGATTTTGGGAAAGCATCTCTTGGGATCTCTTTAGCCTAGATATATTAGCTTGAGATTGAGTGAGGTCTTTTGGTGTCTATTTGCTGCATTGTAATTCCTGTTATTGTTAATTGTTTAAGTCTGTAATTAGGATGAAGAGCCTTGTTGTTCTGTTTCGTTGACTGCTATTGTTGTGTTACTGCCATTTTCTTGTTATTTCTCAGTGTATTTGCTATTGAAATTATGGGTTCCATCCTGGGATTGCGATTTGATCCAGATCTATAAAAAAAAAAAATGAGAAGAACTAGCAATGCTGAGTTCCAAGAAAAGCTATTAAAAATGGTGAAGGCTTGCGAAGTAGCACTCAAGGGGATGAAAACTTGGAGACTTGAATACGAGCAGAGGAAGTTCCAGAGCTTTAAAAAAATCGAAGAAGGAAAAAGAGAGATCGAAGTAGAGACAGAAGAAGAAGCAGATCGAAGCTCAGATGAAGATGGAAGCACAGTAGAAGAAATCAGCGAAGAAGAACAGCAACGAACAAAAGAAAATAAAAAAGAAAAAAGAAGAAGCTGAGGAAGATCTAAGACTGCCGAAGAAGAAGAGGGAGTTTGACGAAGGAGTGGAAGAAGCTGGAGAAGACAGAGAAAACAAAATCGAAGAAGAAGAATCAGAGAAAGACGAAGAGAAAGAAGCGGAAGAAGAAGACATCACCAAAGTCGAAAACGAAGAAGTTGCAGAAGGGGATGAAAATGATGCAGAAGAAGAAACAAAAATCAAAGAAAAAGAAGAAAATAAAGAAGGAGACGAAGGAGAACATGAGGAAAAAAAAAGGAAAAAGAGCGACCATGTGTGTTAAGCTGCGTTTCCAGAATGTCTGGTATGGGTATGGCATTTAGGGACGAAGAGAGGAAGAAGATTAGGTGTTGGGTCAGGTTATCAAGTAGGCAGAGCAAAATCGGGTCGACCCATGGAGAAGGTAGTTACTGTGCGAGGCCCAATAAACTTCAAGAGGCACCAAATGGGCTTTCTAATACCAGCCAACAAAATAATGGCCAAAATATATCAGTGGGCCAAAATTATGGGCCTGGGGCGAATAGCAACCTTCAAACAAAAAGGTCCACGGTTGCACCCAGCGAAGGAAAGAGGAGTTGCAATCCCAACGCTAACAGTGGAGTGCGTTTCAATAAGTTGTCGTTGGAAGAGCTTAGAGTCAGGCAGCTGCACCGCATCTGCTTCAAGGGCAATGCTTCCTTCTTTCCAGACGTGTGCAAGACCCAGTATTTCAGCGCTATTTTATTCAAGATTGGGGTGCACCAGAAAAAAGGGGGAAGATTTTGGACGGTGAGGCAGTGGGAGACGAAGGCAACCAGAAATTACACATCCTCATTATTGCGGGTCTTACTTCTAACTGTTCCTCGAACTTAAGGGGTGAGGTTCATGGAACGAAAACAGATCTGAAACTGCCAATGTGGTCACGGAGCTTTAAACAATGGGACCCAGGTGGAAGTTCTTTTATATCACTTATCCTCCTTCCTTCACCTTGAGGACAAGGTGAATTTTGGAAGGGGAGTATTGATGGGCCTGAGTGTGGTGTATAGGTTAGTTAGTTAGGTAATGATTCCAGATTATTCCAGGAGGGTAGAATATATAGAGGAGGAATGGGTAATGTGAGAGGGCATGTATTCAGAATATTTGGAGTGGGATTTTGGGAAAGGATCTCTTGGGATCTCTTTGACCTAGGTATATTGGCTTGAGAGTGAGTGAGGTCTTTAGGTGTCTATTTTCTGCATTGTAATTCCTGTTATTGTTAATTGTTTAAGTCTGTAATTAGGATGAAGAGCCTTGTTGTTCTGTTTCGTTTACTGCCATTGCTGTGTTACTGCCATTTTCTTGTTATTTCTCAGTGTATTTGCTATTGAAATTATGGGTTCCATCATAGTGTCACTTAGATATTCAGAGGGGAAGCAGAAGGCCAGAAGCCAACATCATTGACATGAAATAAATGTAATAGTTTCTCCGACTCAAGCTGTTAAAACCACAAAGTTTAAAATACCTCAAAATTTCTTTTAGCAATATAAACGTAACAATAACTTTGTAAAAATCATAATATAATAGGAAGATTATCATACTTACCAAGGAAGTTCTTTGTAACATCTGAAAACTTAGCTTCAGCACAAATCTCCTGGATGACCTTAACTCTAACATCCTTTTTCACAGACAAGTCCTTTATAAAATGTGAAATAACATTACTATTCTTTACCACCTCAACAAATGTGAGAATCTCAGACTCAACCTTTTCCACAGCATTAGTTTTCACTGCTGCAATATACAAAGCAGAGGCATAGTTTCCTGAACCTCCAAACATGGCCACAGGGACCTAAAAAATCAATGAAGCAACAAGAAAATGGGAAAAACAGATCAAACCATCAATAAGGACAAACAAAGTGGAAGAAAAAAACAATTTTTTTTTGGTAACAAAAACATTTTACTAATATTCATTCAGTCCAAAATAAAATACGATATATGATGAAAAAAAAATATAAGCATTCCACTTAAATAACTACTCAACCGATTTGAATTTATTCCTTGCAGTTTATCTCAGTTAACTGTACACTCTTTCTTCTTATATTCTATTTTCTTCTTCTATTCGATTACCTTAACTTTGTCTTCCTTTTGCCCCGGGACGTTGGCATAATTTCTGGAGACCTGCACAAGCAAAGATGAGATGGGAACAAGTTATTCACAAAAAATAAAAATTAAAAAGAAAATGCAGCCAAAATGCTGAAACATGATGCAGTAAACTGACTCCAGAGTAAATCAGTCATCCCTGAACCTTAGAGCATACAACACTGTAAGTTGTCAAAAGGCACGAGAATGCAGGTTCTTATACTTCAAAGAATCAAAGAAAAGGCGCAACGCAATAACAAACAACAAAAATGGGAGATTTTTTTTTTTTAATAAAAGGGTAATCAGCTTATATGCATAAAAGGGGTTATCTATCACACACCAACCCATAAAAATGGGGGCGGGGGGCGAGGATTTCAAAAAAAAAAAAAAAATCAAGGTCTAACACGTTTGATCACTTGGAAAAAAATCGAAGTTAAAAAAATGTCAATTTCGAAACACTAACAATCTATGGTATTCTTGAACATTGGTTTAGTGCATCAAACTGAAATCAGAGGAACAAAGAGAGTGTTGAGAAAAAGATTTAGATCGGTTTTTCACCAGGGGAATGGCAGGGGCAACGAGGGAGCGTTGGATAGTGGATCTCTGGGAAGTAAGAAACCCTAATTTGTTGAAGAGAGAGATCCCCGATCTGACTCGGCCAAACAGCGCCATCACAGCGAGCGATTCGAAACCCTAATATTCTGAAGATTCTGCGTTTTCTGAGACAAACCCAAAGTGCGAAAACCCAAAGTGATGCTCTGAATAAGGCTGAAGCTGTAGCTGAACGAGTAAATTTGAACACGTGCAGGGCGACTCAATATTTTACCATTTCTATTTTTTATTTTCTTCTGGGAGTAGGATATTGGAATAATCAATTACTGATTCCTATCAATTAATTTCACCATTAAATCAATTATGTTGATCCCACAGTTATATTTATTTTCATCTTTGTATGGTTATGATTCTCCGTATTTAATGTAAAAGCATTAAGTATGAAAAATCATAACCATACAAAGGTAAAAATAAATATAAAACATTAAATATGGGGAATCATAATTATACAAAGATGAAAATAAATATAATCGTTGGATCAACATAATCGATCTAACGGTGAAATTGATTAGTAGTAATATTGATAGTAACACCAATTGGTTGTTACAATATTCTTCTCCTTTCTTTTATTATATATTTTTTTAGATTGTCGACCTTTGATGGGAATTTGCTTTAAATTTTTTGGATTGTTGGAGAAATTATTATTGGCGGGAAAATATGATTGGAAAGTGAGTTTTCCATGAATATTAATAAAAAATTATTTAGTGGATCAAAATATTACTGAAAATGTTGGGTCAATTTTTTTGATAATATATATTTGATTGATTGTAAAATATTACTGGGAATATGGAGTGATTTTACAAAATTAACCCCACCGATTTATCAAAGACCAACCATCACCATCCCACATTCCAGCCACCATTTTTCTTCCCACCGACATCCACCTCCCTCATTTGCCTTCCCATGTTTGCTATTGTTTCCTGGATGTACTTTTCCATTTCTTGTCCTCAAAGTCTTCCTTTCTTCTTTCCACTTCTCAAACAAAACTTAACCACACCACTGAGGAGGAAACTAACCTTGTTCATCAATGGCGGATTCCGGTACTTACACCAAACCCCATTTACCATTTTTTGAGTTCAGCTCACGGATACAACCTATAACACCTCACATATTTAAAATACATAATAATAGTTAAATTGTGGGTTAGAGGATATGTTTAATGAAAACTCTAAATTTTGGGTCAAAATATACATGAAGGGTAAAACGGTAAATTGACATATAAGTAACCTTGAATTGTAAAATGATAAAATTTGACCTTAATTGAGAAAAATATTACTAAAAATGGATTCAGAACGAAATTTAGAGTGGATAAGTAAGTTTATGAAAAATTAATGAATAGTAGTATTTTTACTAGGTAAAAATAGTGCGATCCAATTACACTGAAAAACGTGAAAAGTGAGATTACTACTCTAAGATTGAATATATGTTGGAAAAGATATTTAGAATCAAGAAATATGATTAGTGATATTATTTGTTGAATTTTGATGATTTTTAGGGAAGCGTGCCAACGATGGTTCTTGGCACTATTTATCATTGTTATTCTGTTGTTTCTGTAACACCCCATCTCGAGCTGGTATGTTAACTTACATTATGGTAATAAAAGCGCTACACATTGAATTAAATAAGTAGAAGACTTAATTAAAAGTATCACAATAGCTTACCATTAACTACGTGACTTAACTTTTTCTTTTTAATTTTCTTTTATGTAATTGCCTTACTTCATTTATTAATTTAAAACTTTAATTGTATATAGTCCCATAACCATATAGAACTTTATTTAACTTTCAAAACCATAACCAATGATCAAGTCTATGTCCAAATATAATAACAAGTACTATTTTGACAGAAACTGTAACAGCCTATTACGTACCGATATTGTTAACATTGATTATGATATTGCGCAGTTACAATCACAGTAATTTATTTAAAAATACGAATAAACTTTTTCCTTTTCATTATGTAAGCATTTGAAAACAACATAAACCGTAATGATATTAACTATGATCATAACTGAATTCTAAATGCGGAATTAATATTATACTTGTTTAACTATCATACAATACTTATTTTAAGTTACTAAGAGGTTCCCATAAACCCACTCAACATAAATCTCACTTTTTTCATTTTTCTAAACCTGAATACGCTTCTATTTTTTTAATATTGGGCATGATCTACGTATTATTAATTTCCTATCTTTTAGTATGTTAAACTAGACTCTATTACCTTTCCAACAAGGTATCACACGCCTTATTTGGAGTTTTCTAGCTCTGAATATCACCATTTGAAGTTGAACAAGCAAAGCTGTCAATCAACTCCAAACAAAGTACCAAATATCTCTCACCATTTTTGTGATTTCCAACGATTTATTGAAGCAAATTGTCTCAAAATTTTATATAGAATACTAGACTCCTTGATCTTCAATTTGATATGTCATAAGTCTAATTTGAGTAAGAATTGAGGGAGATATGATTTTTAGAAACAGGAGACTCGAATATCCCATGCACTTGTCCAGTTTGGGTAGTCTGTGTTCTCTTCGTCCTACAGAATGTTGTACACTCTAAATGGCACAAAATTTTGAGACAATATATCTGACATCTCAACCTTTAAAATGGTGTATAGCACGTCCCAATTGGACTTCTGTGGAGGGAGATATGTTCTCCCAAAGTTGGCCTAAAAACTGATCAATTCTTAGAAAATTCGATGGCATCTCCTTTATTTTATTAACTAATCCCACTTTACCAAATTGTGTTCTAAGTCATCAAATGGTACCTAATTGAAAGGGGTGGCACACAAGAATCAACAAACCTTGGTGCTCTTACAATCCACAACATATTTACATTATTTCTCATTTCATTCATAATCCATTGCTTAACCAATTTACAACTTATTACTCATTTCAATCACATAATTCCATTTCATGCATTTACATCATTGGACAATATCATCATAACCTAGAATAGCTCTATTGCCCTTCCATCAGATACATGCTTCATAAATTTACACAAGGTCCATAGTTCTTTAAATTACATTTCTCCAAATACCAAATATAACTCCAAATAAAATACTCCAAATCCAAATAACATAATTATACAACACTAGACTTAGCCAAAATACAACATAAACAACAAAAGCATGCTACATATCACTCATGCAATATAAAATGTTCATGTCTAAGTCTATCCTATACAAAATAATCCAAAATGCAAAATGGCATGCTATCTCCATGCACTCCACATGCTCTCCCTCCCCATGACTCCAGCACTGCTACAACCAACTGAAACATCGCCCCAATAACGCGGGGTGAGATATATGAATATATCTCAGTAATCCAAAAATATGGAGGATCACTTCGCCTAATTGCTCACTGTCGCAACCGGATCGCGACGTGACGGCAAAAAATTGGAATGTTAAAAAAAATAGTCACCACCAAGATTTATTTGTGAAAAACATTGGAAAAACCCTTTTTTTTAAAAAAAATTGGTCTATGAAAACAGAAATGAATTCAGGAGACGATTACGAGTAGGGAAGGTGTTAGCACCCTACACCGTCCGTTAAAAGAAACGGTTACCTTATATTAATTGTGCAAATTATTGATAAGAATTTAAATATTTATTTCACCACAAAGAATTAAACAAAAAATGATTAAGGAAAAAAAACTAATTTTTAAAATTTATTTTTGTGCTTGACGAGAAGGATCCCGCTACGTCGTTTTGTAAAAAATATTTGTGTGTTGATTGAATTTAATTTTTAAAAATACTTTTAACGAAAATCATTGGAAAGTTTTGGCTTTGATGATTTATATTTATTTCAATAATTTTATTTTTATTTTTGTAAATTTTACAATAAATTTTGAATCACCAAGCTGTCACAGCTAAAATGATTCAAAAGATTACCAGATTAACAAGCTATCTCAACTCAGCTAATCCTTTTAAAAATAGATTTGACATTATTATTATTTTTATTATAAATTTTACAATAAATTTTGAATCATCAAGCCGTCACGGCTAAAATGATTCAAAAGATTATGGGATTAACAAACTGTCATGGTTAAATTATCCCTTGAGGATGGATAACCATACATCAATGTTGAAAATCATTCGTTGGATTTAAAATAAAGCTCTATTGATTTATTTTCCATATTTTTTTTTGTATTTTTTAATGTTGCTTATAATATATGTCATAACATAAGCAAACATGTACTAGTAATCAAAGTAACAAACGCGATAGCGTAATCATTATTTTTATTTTTTTGTAATTTTCAAAATATTTATTCATATTTTATCAACAAATAGATAAATACCCAATACAAAAAGATAACCATCTATCTACATGAATATGACTTATAAGGAAACATGTACATTTTGGTTATTTTGTTGTTTTTTTATGTTTATTTTATATTTATTTTTTGTTTTTTATTTTTATTTTAACACTATGACAATTGACAAGATTATTCCCTATAGTAGTCTATATCCTACACCTAATCTGAACTAATGAAGACAATAGATATGTTCACCATTTTTTATTATTTTATTAATCATTTAGGACTTAACATAATTCACTTTAACATTTAAACTTAAAAAAAAACTAAAAAAAACTAAACTATTTACAATGCTGAATGTAATTCATAAGTGTCAACATCTTTTGCAAATAAACAAACACTAAATTAGGTAACAATGTGACAAGTAAACAAATGTTAAGTTACATGTGCAAAAAAATGGAAAAGATGGATTTCAAATAAAAGAGAAGAAAGCATATGGGCCCATATATTCATGAAGATTTGACTAAACTCCAGACTATATTTTAAACCCTATTTTCACCAAGTAAAAGATGTGAAACAAAAAAAAAGGTGAAAGGCCACACATATGACACAAGGTGTGCAACTTTATAGTGTAATGAAGTTTCAAACAGTGACAACACTAGCAACAACGGATGTGAGACCTGCAACGAGTAAATGAATGTGCACAGTACTAAAGGGGTGTACGTGGCTGTCTGCGAGATGGAGCGGCAGTGCGCGTGGTGGCAAGGCGGTGCTGCTCAGGTGGTTGGGGTCAGGCGGATGATGGCGAGATGGTGGTGCTCTGGTGGTTAGTTTGGAATAATTATGTTTAAACTAGTAGCCATGGGCAAAATTATCTGTGGAATGGAAACATGCAAAGTTCTTAAAAAATTATTTTCGAAACTCTTGTATTACAGCTTTTGTGTTTCCCTGGTTAAGTGTGCTATCTTTATTGTGTATCTTTGGAAATCGAACACATACTGAGAAAGGATCTTCCATAAGGAAGGGATTTCAGACAGCTTAACCAGAGGGGGAAGGCAGTACTGTGGAAAGAGTATTGTTGGTTGCCTTAGGAATAAGGGAACACTTCGTTCATTTTAAGGTTCTGCATTAAGTACCTGTTGGAGTCAAGGGAGCCATAGGAATATGGAAACTTGTGAGCCATCTAGTCCATAAGCTGAGGAATCAGACATTGGCACAAAGGAAACTGGAACAAATACTTAAGTGTTGAGTCCTGAGCAGAGAAAATAATTATTTATGAATGGAGCAGTGGATCTGTTCCTTCTGTTATTATTGTTTTTAAACCATCCACCCTGTTGTCCCTTGATTATTGTTATTACTTTTTGTATTTTTCTTCTTTATTTAATCTTGTATCTATAAAACCTCTCATGAATATTGTTGTTCCTTCCCTAAACAAGAAGGTTGACATACATAACAAAGTGATGAACTGTTTGCTGTCTGATTGAACCTACTGTCCTTGAGGAATGTATGACCAAACAGGTCAATTACTAACTTTTCTTTTCATTTTCATTCTTTATAAAACAGTATAAGACACTAATTAGAGTTCTATTCTCGTGGGAACGATAATTTGGGCATAATACTCCCATTTATTACTTGATGCGTGCACTTGCGCACTTGGGTTGAACTAAGAAAACAACTGTGTTCTTTCTTAGTAAACTGAGGAACGTCTTCATCATAATATATTTTTCATCCAACAGCTTTTGACACCCAACAAGTTTTTGGCGCCGTTGCCGAGGATAGATACACTAAATTTTGTCCATATTATTGTTTTAAGTACATACATACTCTGTATATTTCATTTTCATTTTTTGTCACATATTCTACTGATTCATACTATCTGTTTTACGGTTTATGGATGAAGAGTCTGAAACAGATTCTCCCCACTCCACTAAGATACCTGAGTTCTTCTTTGACCTTGAGCCAGAACGCACTTTACATAGAAGGAGAAGAAATCTCAGGGAAAATATTTTTGAAAACATGGCTGATCATAACAATAACAACGATGAAATCCCTCATGATCAGAATTTTAGAACTTTGGCTGCTCCTTTCAGGAACAGACCAGAAATGGGAGTAATCCTCCCTCCTGTAGCCTTTAATTTTGAATTGAAACCCATCATGTTCCACATGTCAGGGAAGCTGGAGTCTTCCATGGACTCCCTGCAGAAGATTCGTACACACACCTCACAAACTTTCAAGGCATTTGTGATAACTTCAAAGCTGAGGGTGTGACAGAGGAAAGCATGAGAATGAGGTTGTTTCCTCACTCCCTAGGCTCAAAAGCAAAAACATGGATGAAAACTCTCACCCCTGGATCCATCCACTCTTGGGAGAAACTTTCTAACAAGTTCATAGAAAGGTTTATCCCTATGTCTCGACAAGCTAATGCTAGGGCAGAACTCTCTAACTTTAGAATGTTTCATGGAGAAAATCTTTATGAAGCTTGGGAGAGATACAAGGACATCATCAGAAAGTGTCCAAACCATGGGGTGGAGAGTTGGGGAGTTTTACAGTCTTTTTATAAAGGCATTGATCATACTTCTCAATCACATTTAGACTTTGCTGCAAGAAAATAGTTTTTTACAGGTACCCTTGAATCCAGGAACGAAATCATTGAAGGCACTGCAGAAAGATGTCTCCAATGGCCATTGGAACGGATGAGCCCAGTAAGGAAGCCAGGAATGCTAGAATTAGAGAAACAAACTGCCATGGAATCCCAACTGGCCACCCTGATGAATGAGGTGAAGAATCTGAAAGCTGATCAAGAACAACCAAGGATGGAAGTCTTACAACTCACAGCAACTGAGAGTGAACCATGCTCAGCCTGTGGTGACCTTCATGATTCAACAGACTGTCCATCTACTGCCTTGGTGTGTTATGCAGAAAACTTCGAGAACAGAAACTTCACCCAGGCCAGAGACAACCAGACTATAGGAAGCAACAACAATCAAAACCCTGGAGGAACCATAGTGAAGGATCAGAACCATAATCCACAATGGAGACCACCCATTAACCAAAGACCATACAACAATCAGCAGCAGTAGCAACAAGGCAGGAGCAGTGGGAACGAAGCATATGAACCACATAGAAGATCCAATTATGCTCCATTCCAAAGGGATGACCAACGCATCAACACCTTGGAAAGCTATATCAAAGAATATGTCACCAGAAACGATGTTGTGGTCAGAAACATTGAGTCCCACCTGGGACAGATAGCTGCTAGCCTTAACACCAGGACACCGGGCCATTTACCAGAAGATACTGAAGTTCCCTCAACAACCTCCCCAGAAACCTGAGAGGTTAGTAACATGTCTAGCTAAAGACATTAAACTAAGCGCTGACTAGAAGGCAACCCAGTGGATACCTTTGCCCTCTAACAAAGAGCAAAGTTTTAGAGTGGTTAGCCTTAACCACATAGCTCCCAAAATGGAGGGAACGTCTGATGTTCAACTCCAAATCCAAATAAAATATGTTACGTTCCAGGAACGTAGTTTTGGGGTGGTTCAATAACCACACATTCCCATATTATTTCTCTAAAAAAAATTAAAAAAATTAATTTTTTTTATATATATATATTTAATTTTATTTGCACACACCTTCATTTGCAATTTTTAAATAATTAGTATTTCTTTGCAATGCAATTTATATTTCAGGTTCTTTTATTAAGTAGGCTTGCACTTTATTTATTAGGAATTAGTTTATTATTGTTATAGTGTAGGTAAAAGACAAAGGGAACGTTCCCTGGCTTAGGAGATAAGAGTGACAAGGACACTTGTCCATGCTGAGTCACTCACATATACGCAACCGTATCAAATCTGCACTCATTGCAAATTTTGAAAACGTGCCCTGAAAAAGCAACTGTCTCCTCAGCCATTAATGCAATTGCTTCTACCCTATTTCCCTCTCTCCCACGTTTCTAACCTAAACCGTTCCACTTCCTTACCACCATCAGTAGCAGTTGAATACCACTCACCCTAACCTTTCGTTCCAGAATGTTCCCATTCCACCACTTCTTCAACTCCCTGTCTTTAACCTCCACGTCCTGAAAAACTCCTCATTTTCCCTCCTCTGCATGCTTATTTAAACTCATCCTCTGTACTCTTCAATCTTTACCACCTTCTTCTAACTTAGAAACTTTTCCTCTCATCACCCTATTCTGCATTTTTTCCCTAAGCCCTTCTTTCTTCCATAACCATGACTAAGCTCTCCGTAATCGTTGTCCATTTTGCCAGCCATAACCAAGACCCAGAAATCACCGAAGATGCTGTAGCTCTCTATCCAGAGAGAAACATCTTCTTACAGGACAAATCTCTTCTTCCATCATTCGTGAAGAAAGCTTTAACCAAACTACAGTGGACTCTATTCGCCACAGATGTACGAGAACTCAACACTTCCTTGGTGGCTGAGTTCCTGTACCACGCAAAGAGGCTGCCCGAAGGATACACCAATGATGAAGTAATGGTGAGAGGGAAGAAAGTATCATTCTCCCCCTCTGCCATCAAGGAAGTCCTCAACCTCCCAACTATCCCCAACTGCCTGTACCAAGGATACATCGAAAGCAAGAAAGTCCCACAGTTCGCACAAGAAGTAAAGGATTTGATCATCACTAGTGATCCTATCTATTCAAAAGGAGCCCTCTGCAAGGGCAATCTGAAAGACGAGGCCAAATTCTGGTCTCTTTTTGTTAACTCTAATATGACTCCTTCCTCTCATGATGCCACAGTCAAATGGGCATTATAGATACAACTCTACTGCATCATGAAGAATATTCCCTTTGACGCAGTACCTCTCATATATAGCAGCCTGCAAAAGGAAATCAAAAAGACTATTGTCTACCTTCCTTGCTTAATCACAAAGCTCTGTTTGAGGGCCAAGGTCAAGACTTATGAAGATGAAGACCTAGTGGTAGGGTCTGTCATCGATTTCAAAACGTGGAATGGTCTGAGGACCACTGACAGTGAAACAGATATTCCAGGCCTTGAGGCCCCAAAGAAGACAACCACGAAGGCCACCCCTTCAAAATCATCCACTTCTGCCTACACTCAGGCAAGACGAACCGTTCCACCTCCCACCAAGGTGAAGAAGGAAGCCCCTGCTGCTACTGAGAGCAAGCAGGGAAAAAAGAAGTGCCCTGCCAAAGCTCCCCCAAGAAAGGGGGAACGTTCCAGTCAGAGGCTGAAGATAACCTTCAGCAGCATCAAAAGGCCAGAGGGACCATCCTCTGAGAAACCTATCACCCTCTCTGACAAGGAGGGGGACAGTGAAGACAATGAGCCTGTTGCAAAAAGGCTTAAAACTGAAGGAACGTCAAAATCCACACCAGCTACTAGGGAGACATCCTCAAGTAGCTCCGCTTCTAATTCCTCTGACGTTCCGTCCCCTCCACCATCACCTGCTCATTCTTCACCACCACTAGTGATCCAACAACCCTTTCCTAGGCAACAAGAAGGAGAGGGAATGAGAGAAACAGATGCAGCACCTGCTGTACAAGAACAGGTGGCTGAGCAAGTAGCTTAGCCACAAAAGAACCTTGATAAAGGAAAGGGAATTCTTGCTGAATCCCCTAAAAAGAAAAAGCCAATTGTTCCCAGGCAACTCAGCCTGGGAGGGCCCCTCTCTTGTCCCATCATCCGTCCCGACACTTCTGGGGACGAGGCCATTGCTAGGGCTCTAGCAGAAGAAGAGGGCATGGAAGTCCCTCTACTGATAGAGGAACAAACAACAACTGCCCCCTCTTCCTCAAGAATACAGGAGGTTGCTGTCAGGCAAGCACCTGAAGAACCTCCAGCTTTTGACAACAGCAACCAGAAGAAGAAGAAGCCATCTTCCCCCATTCCAGCAATCCTCATTGGCTCAAGGAGAAAATCCCATATAGGGATTGCTGAACTGTTTGAAATGTTGGGAAAGAAGATGGAGAAGTTGCTGCCTGAAACTCCATCCGTTCCCCATATCAACATGACTGATACCACTGAAGAGTTGAAGGCTCTTAGGAACAGAATGGATCAACTCTCTTCTGCTATCAATAAGTTCCAGGAACAACAGAGAACAGAAAGAGAGCAGCTCCTTAACACCATCAGAGACAGCATCAGCAGCATCAGGGCTGCACCTTCTGCACCAACCTTGCAAGCTGTCAGGGACGAAATCAAGAAAGGATCTGAATCCCTGCAACTTGCTTACTCCCTGCACAACACTAGAGTTGAGCTATAGCTGAAGAAACTCCTCCTCAAGAACACCGAGGAACGAACAGAAACCAAAGAAGCTCTCAAAGCTTTTGGTACATATTTGGAGGGAAAATCACTCAGTTGGAACACCGAATGCTGGATATGGAAGGACACCTGGTGCACATCCACAATAGTAGAATAATGATGAGAACCACCGTTGTGCACCTCACTACTGTGATCAGCGATCTACTGAAAGAAGTTGAGAAGTGGCTCCCTGAAGCTGAAGTAAGAAGACTAAGAGAACAGCTCAGCAGGAGACCACCCACACAGGAGGAACGTGATGCTGAGAAGAATTCTGATTTGGGCAAGAGACGTCCTTATTGAAAAGGAGAAAGATCCACCTTTTTTTGCTTATTCACCTATTTATTGTTTTCTGTTATTTCCCTTTGTTTTCTTTTCCGTTCCTTAGTGCAAGTGTAATTTCTTTTTGAAATAAAAAAATCCTTTTGATCAAACTGTTTGGAGCATACATCTCATTTATAGTACTGTGGCTGTGAAACTTTGAATAATCAATGGCATGAAACACAAAGTCACTAAGTAATCATTCTTGTTCTTACTCTGAATGCTTGACATAGAAAAGGTGAAATTAATTTAATCTTTAGATTTTTGAAGAATGCTGATCTGTGTGAACTAAAATTGGTGAGGAACGAAAAATGCAAAATACTTACTCATGAGAGCGTTCCTGAGGTGTCACCACAATGAAACTTCTAAACTTGCCTTGATGTTGTAAGTACTACTGAAGAACAGGTGAATTTCACTAACAAGGATCAAACCACCAAACACTAACCCCCTCACAATCATCCAAACACTTCCAGTCCCATTCACACCACAACTTTACCCCACACGCTCACACTCACTCACAGGTCAACAAAAAAGAGCAAGGAACAAATCCGATAGGAGCACAATGGACAAAAAGAAAGAAAAAGAAAATAGGAACAACCATTCAAAAGAATTCAGAAGAAAATACCAAAAAAGCTTCCTCCAAAGGAGGAGAAGAAGGTACAAAAGACAAGGTGTTCCCTCAAACAGAAAAGTCCAGCTCTGAAACAAAAAAAATTGAAACACGTTCCTTGACTCAAAACTTGTGACCATTCCATTTTTTAACACCCTTCCATCAATCCTTTTCACAAATATCCTTGACTTGGAAGACACCTGCACTTCTTAGGAAAGCAGCAGATAAGCAAGTTTAAAGAATCACATCCAGAAATGGACAGAGAAACACCAACCCTGAGTGATAGTGAGACAGAAGATCAGCAATCATCACTCATCTGGGAACAAATTCTTTCTACTCAACACCTGTGGAAAGTAGTTCAATCTTTGAAAAGTTTATGACTACTTGCTGGCTCAAGCTTATGAAGTTGAGCTATTCTTTGAAATTGAGCAGCCTAAGCCACTATTTCTGAGTTGTTTGAGGACAACCAACAATTTAGTTTTAGGGTGTTTGATGGGACAGAAATCCGTGCCCATCTAAGCCTATTTTGATGACAAAATACCATCTGTTCCCTCACCTGATGAGCAACTTTAGCACTAAAAGCACATATTTTATATCTTTATCACAAAAACACAGGTGGGAACGGAAGGTGATGTAATCTTTGGAAAATATATAAAAAGGGGAACGGATTTGGAACATTAAATACACCTGCTTCACTCACTCAATCTTTCTGACCACTTTTCAGGAAACGTTGAAAAGAAGTTTCCAATTAAGCACAAGTGGGCAACACTCAACCAAGGAGAAAGGTGCACAACAGGGAATAAACGGTTCATATTGGCCGAAAAGGAAAGCAAGGCATGGGGGAAGTCAGAAGGAAAGACAAATCTCAACAAAACTGTCCCATCCAGCCACGTGCGCCCCTCAAAGCACTGTTCACACCGCCCCTTTCATACAATCAAGAAATCGACTCCAAAGAATTTACAAGCTTGCCTTTTACTTTTCTACCTATAAATAGGACGTTCCAGCACGAAAACATCAATCAAATTCCTGAGGGATTGAATTCCTTAAGAAGAGATCACTTAGTTTATTTTTGTAGTTTTTATTTGTATAGTTTTAACTTTAGTTAAGTGACAACACTTCTTCTTCTTTCTTTATCACCCACTTGAGACTCCTCACGAGCAATAACCATCTTTTCCACTTTTCATTTTGTTGTATTCAATTTGTTTTTATTTAAATACAAGTGTTATTTCTCTCATTTCTACTCGTTATCTCTGAACTGAATCTCGGGTCTATGGGACTTCAGTTTGGAATAATTATATTTAAACTAGTAGCCATGGGCTAGATTATCTGTGGAATGGAAAAACTGCAACGTTCTTAAAAATTTATTTTTGAAACTCTTGTATTACAGCTTTTGTGTTTCTCTGGTTAAGTGTGTTATCTTCATTGTGTATCTTTGGAAATCGAACACATACTGAGAAAGGATCTTCCATAAGGAAGGGATTTCAGACAGCTTAACCAGAGGGGGAAGGCAGTACTGTGGAAACAGTATTGCTGGTTGCCTTAGGAATAAGGGATCACTTCATTCATTTTAAGGTTCTGCACTAAGTACCTGTTGGAGTCAAGGGAGCCATAGGAATATGGAAACTTGTGAGCCATCTAGTCCATAAGCTGAGGAATCAGACGTTGGCAGAAAGGAAACTGGAACAAATACTTAAGTGTTGAGTCCTGAGCAGAGAAAATAATTATTTATGAATGGAGCAGTAGATCCGTTCCTTCTGTTATTTTTATTTTTAAACCATCCACCTTGTTGTCCCTTGATTATTGTTATTACTTTTTGTATTTTTCTTCTTTATTTAATCTTGTATCTATAAAACCTCTCATGAATATTGCTGTTCCTTCCCTAAACAAGAAGGTTGACATACATAACGAAGCGATGAACTGTTTGCTGTCTGATTGAACCTACTGTCCATGAGGAACGTTGTCAAGACAGTAGGGAATCTTTGACCAAATAGGTCAATTACTAACTTTTCTTTTCATTTCCATTCTTTATAAAATAGTATAAGACACTAATTAGAGTTCTATCCTCGTGGGAACGATAATCTGGGCATAATACTCTCATTTATTACTTGATGCGTGCACTTGCGCACTTGGGTTGAACTAAGAAAACAACTGTGTTCTTTCTTAGTAAACTGAGGAACGTCTTCATCATAATATATTTTTCATCCAACGGCTTTTGACACCCAACAGTGTGTCTGTGAATTAGTGTATTCCATTGACCCCAAGCTCCCTATTTATAACTTTTGAAGTCATATCTTTTAATTCTTCATCAAATCTCCCCATGAATCTCTATCAATTCCCAATCAAATCTTGATTTGTTTCAGTTTTTATTTAAGATCCTGCAGATTGGGCTTCAAATTTTTGTTATGATTCCTTTATCACTTCTTAGCACCAAATCTTGTGGATTTACCTTCAAAATGAGCAAGATATCAAAACATTAGCTCAATTTTCAAATCTTTATGATTTTATCATATAACACCTTGTATTCCATGCAATCTACCATATAATTCTTGTAGAATTTAGCATAAAAACATGGTAAACCAAGGGTTTATCACTCAGTCTCCTTCAAGCTCCTCTCTCTGAAATCTTCAACTCTGGACTCTGGTGTTCTCCTCCTTCCTCTCAGTCTGCTTGCCTTTGTCTAATTATGTCCTTGTGTTTCCAAGAGATGCCTTTTTATAGGGATGAAACCATATCTTTTAATTTTTCGTAATATCTTCAATGGAATCTTCACTAGAATCTCTAATCATATCTTTGATCCAATCCTTCAAATCTTCCTCTTTTTATTTAATGGAAAACTTTCCTTAAAAATATTCAAACGAAGATTTGATAAGATTTTGAATGATTCAGAAATCCAAAGCAACTCTACTTGATCTCTCCAATTTATCTCTTTATTGAGCTGAAATTTACTGCAAAATATAAGAAATCTTATGAGAGTATTATTGAAAATAAAATAAAAATTTAACTATAATTCTCATAACTTTTAATTACTTTTAAATCAATTTCATGCTCATATTGACACTTAATACATAGTAATTTGGAGACTCATTAAACAATTCTCAGATTTAGACATTGTTGTCCTCAACAATAAACTAGAATAAGCGCTATAAAGCAGGAACGTAACCACTATAAAGCAGGAACGTAACCTTGTGAGAAGAGACACATAAAATACAAACATAACATCGCATCAAACAATTAATTTAGAGCAGAAACTCATGAGAATACTATGCTAAGTATGCATGATTTTCAGTGTTGAGAATTTCAAACAAAACTTTTCATTTTCAAAAAAGAAATTAGAATCTAACTTGAATACCCCTCACTAAGATAAACAATACACTCATCACTCAAGTGTTTTGGGTATAATCACTCAATCCATCAGTGTAATAGTACTACCATAGGCTTGATCTTATTCTCAACTTCCTAAAGATGAGAAACATATATAACATGCAAAAATAAATCTGAAGGTCCTTTTAGGGCTGTAATGTGGCATGGTTTAGGGGTAGAAATATTTGGAAGATAGCTAATTTTATTATGTGAGATTGAAACTGATGAACCCTTAGTTCATCAGGTTTTTAAGCATGAATTAATATCAATTTGTGTGATTAAATGGATGGAAAAGAGGTTAATGTCCTGGAAATCTCTCAAATACAAGTTCTGAAGCTTATGTTGAAAATTTACATTGTTTTTGTAGGGAAATGAAGCTCAAGAAGCAAAAGAGAGAAGGAAGAAGATTCTGAAGAATGGGAAAATTCTAAGTGTTGGGTGCTAAAACGCCCAAAATTGAGCGTTTTAGCGCCCTGTTGCACAAAAGATGCTGGTGCTGAACATTAAAATGCCCAAAACTGAGCATTTTAGCGCCCTGCTGCACAAAAGATGCTGGTGCTGAACATTAAAACGCCCAAAACTGAGCGTTTTAGCGCCCAAGACAGTTAAAAGCAGTTGGGCATCCGTCAAGGTTGAGCGCTAAAGCGTCCAGAAATGAGAGTTTTAGCGCCCAT